TGATGACCTGATGAAAGAGAGCTGCATGACTTCCCTCATGATGACCTGATAAAAGAGTGCTGCATGACTTCCCTCATGATGACCTGATGAAAGAGAGCTGCATGACTTCCCTTATGATGACCTGACGAAAGAGAGCTGCATGACTTCCCTTATGATGACCTGACGAAAGAGTGCTGCATGACTTCCCTCATGATGATCTGACGAAAGAGTGCTGCATGACTTCCCTTACGATGACCTGATGAAAGAGTTCTGCATGACTTCCTTCAAGATGACCTGATGAAAGAGTGCTGCATGACTTTCCTTATGATGACCTGATGAAAGAGTGCTGCATGACTTCCGTCATGATGACCTGATGAAAGAGAGCTGCATGACTTCCATTATGATGACCTGATGAAAGAGTGCTGCATGACTTCCCTTATGATGACCTGATGAAAGAGTGCTGCATGACTTCCCTCATGATGACCTGATGAAAGAGAGCTGCATGACTTCCCTTATGATGACCTGACGAAAGAGAGCTGCATGACTTCCCTTATGATGACCTGACGAAAGAGTGCTGCATGACTTCCCTCATGATGATCTGACGAAAGAGAGCTGCATGACTTCCCTCATGATGACCTGATGAAAGAGAGCTGCATGACTTCCCTCATGATGACCTGATGAAAGAGCTCTGCATGACTTCCCTCATGATGACCTGATGAAAGAGTTCTGCATGACTTCCCTCATGATGACCTGACAAAAGAGTGCTGCATGACTTCCCTCATGATGACCTGACACTTCTATCACAGCAGAACACTGTTACACAGGGCCCACCTATCTCTCAGCAGACCAGACCTGACCATCTGCTCATCCGACTTAGCAGACGCAAGCTATCCCCAAGTCCTGGACGACATAGGAAGTGACCACAAACCTATACTCACAACTGTAAGCACCACCCCTAAATTACGCTTCAAGCAGAGAACCCGTTGGAATTTCCGAAAAGCAAACTGGAAACTATTTCAGGAAACATCTGACTGCCTCCTGGGAAGAATTGACAACAGCTGTGTGGAAACTTTTTGTGAAGACATAACACAAGCAATCCTGAATGCAGCGTCGAAAGCCATCCCAAGGGGCAGCCGGAAGGCATATAAACCTTTTTGGAATCAAGAAATTCAAAATACTATATCTGAAAGGAATAAAGCAAGAATATTTCTCGAAACTGCACGTTCAACAGAAGCAAAGATCCAATACAATAAAGCATGTGCCAGAGTAAAGCTTGTAGTTAATAAGGCTAAAAGAGATAAATGGACAGAAACTTGCTCCAACTTAGACCTTAGACAGAATGGAAATAAAGCATGGACTTTAGTTAAAAACCTCTCCGGAGAAAGTAGAAGGGTGAACCCAAAACCAGTGACAGATGGGAGTAAGACAATCACTGAAGACAAGAAGAAAGCAGAACATTTCAATCATTATTTTGCCTCAGTTAACAGAGCAGGTAAGCTGTCAGAACTCGATAGAACACAGCTCTCTCAGTTGAAGAAACAAGAGAGAGCTCCAACAGCCAGCGACTCCCTTTTTGAAAATGAATTTAGCATGGATGAATTAGAGCAAGCCCTGAAGAAATTAAAACCTAGAAAATCTCCAGGCCCAGATAAGATCCACAACGAAATGCTGCTACATCTTGGCCGGTCTGGGAGAGAAGTAGTTCTCAGGCTTATTAATAAAACTTGGAGGTCAAGCAAACTTCCAAGGGCATGGAGGAATGCATATATCGTCCCCATCCTTAAAACCAAAAAGCCTCCAGATGACCCCAAAAGCTACCGCCCGATATCCTTAACATCATGCTTGGGCAAAGTTGCAGAAAGAATGATAAACAGGCGCTTATATTGGTTCCTTGAGAGTTCTGGTGTTCTATGCCATGAACAGGCAGGCTTCAGAACCAACAGCTGCACAGAAGACCAGCTGTTCAGACTGACACAAAGAATACACGATGGCTTCCAGAATAAGAAACACACAGTGGCAGTCTTTGTCGACCTCCAGCAGGCCTTTGACAGAGTATGGAGAAAAGGTCTCCTGATGAAGATGATGAGCATAGGAATACATGGCAGATTGTATAACTGGGTGAAATACTTCCTGATAGATAGAACAATCCAGACTAAGATGCACAACGCAATCTCTTCTAAAGAAGTCTTGGAGGAGGGCTTGCCACAAGGCTCATCATTGAGCTGTACACTATTCCTAATCTTTATCAATGACCTGCCAGAACAAATCAAGGCCGAAAAAGCCTTGTACGCTGATGACCTAGCAATATGGCAGAGTCATGAAAATGTGGAAAGTGGAGCCCAAAGACTGAATGGAGACCTTAGAAGACTGCATGATTACTGCCAAAGATGGAAACTCAAGATTAACTGTGCAAAGACGGTCTACACAATCTTTACCAAAAGCCACCAAGTAGCAAGGAAGAATATTAACCTGAGGTTAGACAAACACCAAGTGATGAAAGAAGAGCATCCCACATACCTTGGAGTCACACTTGACCCGCAGCTCAGCCTCAAGAACCATATTGAAAACATCAGGAATAAGGCATTGAGGCGGTTACAGTTATTAAAGAGACTTGCAGGTACATCATGGGGATCAGACAAGGAAACTCTGAGGGGCTTATACCTAGGATATGTTCGCTCTGTGATAGAGTACAACAACTCACTGCTTACAACTTGTTCCAAAACTAACCTAGAGACTCTTGACAGAGTACAAAATAATGCCCTCCGATTAATCTGCGGAGCTATGCAGTCTACACCAACTGCTGCATGTGAAATCCATACAAATGTGGAACCCCTCGGGTTGCGGAGAGAAAAAGCCACTTTAGAAATTTATGAAAGATGCGTTAGGAAAAATCGTAACCATCCTAATAGACATCTTGTAGAAAACTGGGAATCCAAACAAAGAATAAAGCACAAATCGGTTTTACACTGTGTAAATGAAATTCAGGACAGATACCACCTCCCAGAAAGACGTCAAGGAATTCAGAATGTTCCAAAAAACCTACCACCACATGCTCGCTTTAAAGCTCCAGAAGTCCAAACTAAATTGGTAGGCGAGGAAACCAAACAGTCCGACCCAATCGCTCTTATGAACTCATCACTAAAGACCGTTGATTCTTACCCCCAAGAATGGATACATGTCTATACTGATGGATCAGCATTTAAAGCTACCATTAAAGCAGGTTACGGAATCTACATAGGTTATCCCGATGGATCTGTTGAAGAGATTTTTGATGCATGCGGGGAATTCTGTTCAAACTATGAAGCTGAAATAATTGCACTGGAAACAGCAGTATACCACCTAAAGACTGTAATGGATGTTTACCCCTCAAAGGTCCAAAATATTGTCATCTTCACAGATTCAATGTCTGCCCTTCAAGCTCTGGAGGGCAATGAACGCTGCAGAACTGACATAGCCAAGATAATCCTGGATGCCGATCATCTTATTACCTCATACAACATCAGAATAGTGATGCAGTGGATTCCAGGTCACTCCGGCACACCAGGTAATGACAGAGCTGACAGATTGGCAAAGAAAGGAGCAACACAAGAACAACCACCTACAGCGACAACCCTCCAGACAGTAAAAACACTGATAAGAGCTATAAACAAAGAGACTTGGTTGAACAGATGGGCCATGGGAGACACTGGAAGAGAGGTTTATAGACATATGTCTGGCCCTGATCCTAATGACAGCATTAACCATCTAACAAGAAGGGACCAGGCCACCATCTTCAGACTTAGAACGCAACATACTCCACTCAATGGACACCTAAACAGAATACAGCCACAACACTCCCCAGAGTGCCAGCTATGTAACTACCCCTACGAAACTGTTGAACACCATCTCTTTGAGTGCCCAAAACTCAGTGAGACAAGAAGAACGCTACTCCCTCCGAGACCAGACAAGTGGAACACCTTGTACGGAGGAAAAGAACAGCTTGTGAAAACATGCAAATTCCACTACATGGCATTGGGCCAAAGGGCGAAAGCTCATGCGCCGCTGGATCGATAACAACAACAACAACAACAACAACAACATCACAGCAGAAAAATGTGGAACCCACCCAATTCAAGAACACATACTCTCCTATTCATTTTATCATAGCTAAGAAAGCTCTGTGGCTGCCATATCTGCCCCATCCTAGCGGTCATGGAGTCAAATTCCCATGGAGTTGCATTTTTAAAATTGAGCCATATCAGCCAATGTCATCCTGAATTAATCACTTCTTGAGTACTCATCAAGTCTAAAAAAATATGGGCCAGGTACTTTAAGCCCAATATACCTGAAGGCTTGGAGTAAGACTTTTTACTTATTTAAATTCAGTAGCATCACTATATTACAACGTAACTGGCAGCTGAGGTAGAGTAGCTCAAAGGTCTATAGTTCCATCCTGTATCTAACAGGGTCCTTGCCTGTACTTTTACTTACAAACATTTTAAACTACAGATATAAATTCTAGAAAGAATTACTGAAAATCACAACCTTAGAAATAACTGTTCCAACAAAAATGTTTTTGTCACTATAAGGAGAACAAATACATCTGTGTTTCTGCAACCATTTCTCATGTTCTGTTTTTGATCCGTTGCTGTATATCCAACAGCCCTGTGTCAACCAGGCAGTAACCTAACTACAGTTCATTTAGACATATAACTCTGGACTTTGTTCTGTCTGTATATTATCTAATTGCTGTATACAAATTACTATTATTTAAAAACTAAAAGTTATCAGCAGTGAATGCGTTATTTACCAATTCCATCCAATAAGATTTTTTAATATAATAAGATCTTAAAGTGGAATGAAATGTCTCCACAAATGTCCATAGCGCATTGTCAGGTGAGAAAAAGAAACATCTAAGTACCCACAGCAAATTCCAAATTAGGCTGAAGTAAGCAAATCCACAAAAATAGGAAATTACACAAATTAACTGGCCAATGAGAGTTTACATTATATTCAAAAAACTTTGAAAGCACTGAGGACCATCAAAAACAGCCTTCCCGCCATGTGTCTTCTGATCCACCTGAAGATGTTGGTTTGGGAGACGGATTATTTGCCCTGAAGAAAAACAGACATCTATTAAAAAACTGAAAACAAATTAAAATATTGCACTGACCAGTGTACAGCCATATGATGATGATGTCAAACAAGATTACAGTTTTTGTTCTTGAAATGTTTTCTCTATTCAATTTGGTGCCCCCCCCCCCCCCCCCCCCCCAAAAAAATTATAAGTTTATGTTAAATAGTTTTGAAGCTATGGCATTTTCAGTACACACTCAAATATGTGGTATCTAGGAAAGTGCAAGGGTTAGCAAGTGTGGCAGTGGGTTAGGAAAATAAAAGATGAAAAAAAAATGTGGTCTTGAGTAGTTTTTAAATATATCCAAAAGGGTCAAAATGTTAGAATAATACAAGCAAACAGGCAGGTGTAAGGTCTACTGCTACCCTGATGACCTCACTTCACTACACAAATTTACAAACTTTTCTCTAGTTCCTAAATGTCTAAATCATAAAAAGGTTTCTTTCTATGTCAAGGGAAGTAATCGGGGCAAATACGGAGCAAAGAATTAACTAACTTCCTTCCCTTTAACCATATAAAAGAGGTTTTGATCGTGTTTCCACAATGAACAATGCGAAACAATTATGAAACAATACGATGTCACAGTGACATCAAAATTTATTTATTTTCTTTTAATTTTTTTCCGCCTAGATAATATCCACACAAAGCTTATGCCATTGTCTAAAAATCAATAACAGCAAATCATATGCAGATGTTTTCAAACCTGATATTTTGGGATCGAGAAACTTTGTGCACAATCCGGTAAGTACAGACACCCAATTGCTGTTATGCCATAACAACTAATTTAGAGTGTCACATAAGAGGTCAGTGGTGTTCTTCATCTACGTGTTTTTTGTTTCCACTTGATCACAGCAGAGCTGCAAATATGAAGTCTTTTGCCACTCATCTGAAACCAATGTGCTTAAAACTGATTTATAATTACTTTAGACATGATTTCAAACTGCATTTATTACTGAACGAAAAACACAGAATTTTCACATTTGTGCCCTACTTTTTACTAAGCCCTAGTGATTTCGCTGCATGGATTTTTATCGTGGTATGGGACGTCGCAAGTCGACCCAGCCTCAAATGGGTACCAGGATAGCTGTCCTGGGGAAGTAAAGACGGCCGGCCACAACCCCCCCCCCCACCCCCGAGTGCCAACTGGTCTGTAAAAATATGGATGCTCTTCCTATATGCCCGATGCGCCTAATAGGCGTAAAAAGGGATCTTTACTTTTACTTTTACTAGTGATTTCGTAACATACAATTACGGAGGTTTTGAACAACGGATCAACATCATGGCACAGGGCTAGTAACCCATAAGTGCTCCGCTCTTCTTCTAACTCAAGTCTTCGTCTAAAGAAGCTCAGCACAGTGCACGGGCTCTGTAGCACTGGTGAGGATCCTGAAATACTTTGGGTAGATTTTAAACTCCAAACTTTGCCCGGGCAGCGCCGTTAGGCTACTCTTTTCGATTTCCAACTGCCAAGGGATTTTGTTCGTGCGCAACAATGCACACTGATGTCCGATCTCACTACCCAGGTCTCTGGAATAGAACGTTTACCGTAAATTTACTGGTAACAATGATCTATCGTGTACATTATGAAACTTTTCAGGAAACTGATTTCAGGTTTAGGACTTCACTGGAAAAAAAAAAGACAGGGGTACTGATAAAAACTGACTGCACACACCCAAAAAAACAATTTTCCCTGAGGTCATATGCCCAATGTGACACATAACGGCACAAAAGAATGCTGATGACTGTAGAAACCATTTCTACAGGAAACTAGGAATTCCTTTAAAAAATAGTCTTTTTTATAAAACAACAAAGGTTACTAATTTTTGTGTGTGTATTTATATAATTTAAAATAGATTATGACATATGTGCGGTTTTTTTTTCAAAGTATCCAGAAACCAGAGTTGTTAATCCTCTGGCTCATTACTATGGATATGACAACCCTTCGGCCTTGATTGCATGATAGGTAACCTAAATCTGGGAGAAATGTGGCTTTTCTGCCTTACCCCCAGGTGTGAACCCAGACCACAAGGTGTTTGTCACCTGGTCACCGCAAAGTCAGCTTTCACCAACTATACTAATGAGCTTAGCTATGTGGTGGTTTAAAAATAACACCAAAAACCCCATTAGTGTAACATGTGATTAAAGTTTTAATGCTTAAACTCTTAAATGCTTACTTACCTGTGAATGAGATGTTTGTTTCTGTGAGTGAGAGGGGAGCATATTGCTTTCTCCCTGGGGGCTATATTACTTAATTCACTGGCAGAGGAGTTGATACCAAGAACAATAGTTTGTCCTAGCATCACTCCACTGGTTGTGTGATCAGACTTACTTTCTTGTCCTCTGTCCAAGGAGTGAAGTCTCAGTCTTTATGCCTAATGGAACCACCTTTTTAGACACTAGTTACACTACTTCTTATGAACCACTTTCAGACTTACGACTATCTCTTGTATCTGTTTCTACTTTACCAAGAACTCACCTATAGCTGTGACACAGGGTTACCAGACAGCCAGTATTCACTAGGAAATATTTATTAGAATGAAATGATTCCATGTTTTTCCCTATAAAAATCTCAGCTAAAGGTGAAAAGTTTCTAAACAAACAAACCTGCGAAGCATGGGCAAAGAAGACCTAGAAGCTGATGAAGGCCTCACTAGCTGTCGCCGAGGCATGGGTAAACCACTAGTCCGCTGTGGCGACAAGCCACGCTCTATCTGTTGCTGGGCTAGACCCGGTGCAATACCTATAGGCATGCTTTGTTTGGGTGCAGACTGGAAGTTTGAATGTTGCAGTCGCGAGGAGCTGGATCTGAAAGCTTCTGGCGCCAGGTTGCTCTCATCACCGCTGGCACTGTTGTACCGATCTAAACTAGAATCACTTGAATTATTGGACTGGTACTGCAGGCCTGGTGTGGAAGGGAGGCTGCCCCGTCCTCGAGAATCTAGAATGTATAGTCAAACAGAAAAATGTGTCAATATATTTATATATATAGTTAATTAGGCATCTTTTTCAATCCTTGGGCTCATAAAGCATAATATGCTAAACCTATTTTTTTAAAGACCAATCAGCACTCTATAGTTGATAAGATCAACATTTAGCTGACAGCCTTTACTTCCCAACTTACTTAGTAACTCTTCTTCTACCTTGGGGTGTAGAGGTTTGCCAGAGAGATCGCCAGACTTCTCTATCAGCAGGTTTTTCTTCACTTTTTTCCATTCAAGTCCTCAGGGACTGTGAGATGTCTTCCCAGCGAATCCTGGGTCATCCTGGTGGTCTGGTTCCATGGTTTTTAGCCTCCCATGGCATAAATGTCCAAATCACTTAACTGTGACAGATCCACTAGAGTTTTTCAAGATCATGACGTACTGTCTGTTGCAAACTCTATCGTTTCTTGTCACTCAGACTACTTTTCTCAGATACCTTATTTCTGAGGCCTGAAGCTGGCCTCTGTGAGCTGTTGTCACTGCCCATGACTTGCACTCATATTTCAGGTCTGACACACAGGTAGAGCGGTATACAGCCATATTTTGTCCCCTTGTTAGTTTATTTTCTGCTAAGGAAGCCCCGGTTTATGGCCTGAAAAACTATCCCAGCTGCTGCTTTTCAAGTAGCCAACTCTGACCTACTGTCTCCATGCTGTCTTTACGACTTTTATCATTTGTGCAGTTTTTGTAGAAACTCTGTAGTGCACAGATTAGGGATGCTGGAAGCCAATCAGTTCCAAGAGTTTGCTCCAGGGAACATTATCAAATGCCTTTTCTAAATCCAGGAAACATAAGTGCATCTCACTCTTATATTTACTTTCCAAAACTTTACTTAAAATCTATTTTAGGTTGGGTCAAGTTTTGAAAAGAAATGCAAATTCTAACCCTATACCTCTGGGCCAGAAGGTGACTGTCTAGCCGATACAATGAAATATATTCGAATTCTTCAAGCATGTGAAAAATAATCCCTTGCCAGTAAGCTAAGGCAGTAGCAGGTAAGTCCTTCTGCCTTAAGAAGAAAAAAAAATGACACTTCCGGCTGGGTCCAATTCTCCGTAAATGTAACTTTTCCCACTTCCCTCTTCACAAGATGTATAATTAATGCAACTGGCTGCGTTTTCGCCCGCGCAAATGTTCAGGGGTCAGAATATTAATAAATCAACTAACAACCGCTTTTGGAGTTTTTCCTGTGGTAAATGGCTTTTTTTTTTTTTTTGTCAAACCAAGATGGTGTCAGAATTTCTCATAGCCCTCCGTGGTAAAGGTCATGGCAGGAGTTACCCGACACGTGTGCCGGTAGATGTATTCAACTTAATGCGGTATGTGGGTTTTTTATTTTTTTTATTACTCCTTTCATATATCTTTATATTTCGAAAAATAATTTTGACATGTCGATAAATACATTTTTTCTATGAATTCATTAGCAACCTGCATAAAAACTGTTGTTTTTACATTCCGTTTTTACATCCTTTCGGTGCAATGACTCTTTTTTTTTTTTTAGTTCTCAGGGCAAAAGGGTTAAGACTAGAAACTCTGACTTAGGTGAGTCCATCCATCTAGCCAAATTTACTCAGAAATATCAATATCATCAGTAATTTATTAGTGCCAGAATGACTGAGCCATAGAAGGTTTCAGCTGCCGCCTTGACATCGCAATGTTTGTTTAAAAAAACAGGAGGTGAAACACCAGAATGTAGCAAAGATAAATCTTACAAATTATGGCAACAAAAATCAGACATAAGAATAGGCAATCAAATGGAAAACTATTCGAAACATGAAACAAGGTAACAGATAAATATAGCATACTTCTGCTTCTTCTTCTTTTGCATTTGCCCTCACACGGGCGTTTGGGGCGTTACACTGTGACATTAGCTACCTTTGGCCCAATAAATTCTATTTCTGCAAATCCTTAATTAGTCGTGATAGCAGATGCTGTTAAGATAACATCGGCTAGCTGCTGAGCTGTCCTTTTTTGACATGCCTGTTTACCTCTTTTACTTAACTCCTGTTAAGGGGCAGTAAGAATATTCTTGTCTTCCCCAACACCTGGAACATATATGGACAATGTGGCGTAAGATCTTTAAAAACTATTCACATGTGCACCAGGATACATTTTCGAAAGTCAAGGCAGCTGGCACATCACTGACCACAGTATCCATTGTGTGCTGGTACTCTAAACATACATGGCTAGCACCATATACACAATAAATTCATGGCGTAAAAATATGTCTTTTATACAATTTCTTATTCTTTTCTTTGATCATCGGTTGTAAGCTCCGGCAGAAAGTCCTCATTTTTCCTTCATTTGGACTTTGGCTTTGTGCCAGGGCCTGAGTTTTGGGTGTACGTCTGTTTTACTGGCTTATTTGTGTGCAGTTGGTTGTTTCTTGCCGCTTGGGCAGATGCACTCCGACCCTCAAAGGAAGTCGCCAATTAGTTGACTCCTACAACATGCTTGCTAGGGAGGCAGTGAGTCAGTTCCTGTTTTCCCTATAACGAGGCCCCTGGCCAACGCGGGGACTTTACACATTTTATAAATGCATGAGTCTCAATGTCCCGAGAGAGAAAATAAAAATGTTTAACACCACAAAACCTAAGATAATTATAAAAGAAACAAGCAACAACATAATGAATCAGTATTGCAGCTTACCTAGAGAATTACTCAGCTGAAAATGTTGACTATTCATAAGTGAACCGCTTGAGGGGATCCCATGGTCTGAACCCACACTTCCATGCCGATCTGACAAATATGCTCCATCCACTGAAATGATTTCAATCAATGACAATTAAATGTGCCTTTGTGGGGGGGGGGGGGGGGGGGGAGAGGGAGGGGGGGGGGGTGTTGGCATGTCAACCAACTGACTAAATACCATGCCGATCTGAAGGACATGCTGCAACCACTGACATATTTTTTAATCAATGGAAATTAACATACAAAACAATGTAAAAATAATAACACCAAGACAGCACATTTAAACAGAACATTTAAATAGTGATTTTCTCATTCCTCTAACTATATTGCAGGCTAAATATGAACTTCAAACAACATTTTTTGGGGTAAATGCTAAATTCTGACAGTATGTTCATGCTAAATGTTAACACCTTTTGTTTACAGCTGTGCAATTTAAATTACTATGGGAGACATAATCATTAGTAATTTAATACTGGAAGCAATAAAAATAAGTGAATAAAATACAGAGCTAAAAATTATTCATATTTTTTTAATGGGGGGGGGGGGGTGTGTTTAAGAAGCTAAACATCACATACAATTATGTGTATATTATATTTATTATCTGTTGTATAATGTATACCAAGATCTAACTGTGTGTTCAGCTTCAGAAGACACCATCATAGACATTTCAAGTTCCTTCAAATGAGTAAATGGTGAAAAAACAATAGAGAAACACATATCTGAGTGGTAAAAGATTTCTGTGAAGAACATCTATTCTTTGTTCTTTAAAATGAAGCCGCAGGAGCCATACTGGGAGCATGTGCTTTTTTGTTGAGATCTTTCCTGCTTCGTATCATGATTATTGTGACAATCAATTAATATATATGTACATATATATATATTTACCAATTTGTGAAACTAGATGATGCTCAAAGTGCAGATTATAAACAGCACATTCATACCAACACTGTGCTACCAGTGCATTACTTGGAAATTATCAAACGCTAACATGCGTACAATTAAGAAATGTGAAATGAGATACCTGAGAAAAGCCGCCAACTTGACCATCTGAGACAAAGTTAGAAGTGAAATTATCAGACAGACTGTAGGAAGAACCATGCAGCAAATTCATTCAAAAACAGAAGATTAAATGGTTCGGTCATCTAGTAAGAATGCAGCCAGACCAACTACCAACGCATGTGCTATACAAGAAAAGATCTAAAATGAAAGCAAGAGGCCGTCCTAAAAGATGAAATTATGACAATAAAAAGCTTCTACAGCGACATGGAATGACAAAAGCCATTGCTGCCCATCAAGCAATGGATCATAAATTGCTCCTTCCCACTACGCGTAACAAGAGAAGTGGAAATTGATAAAGATGATACTGAGCAGACAGACACACTTACAGTCAAATCTACTTGGACTCAGCCGAGCGCTACTGTCTCCTTCCATTAAGGCATGCCTAGCTCTCATTGCTAAAATAAATATAAACGTTTGATTAACATCATTTGAGTCAAGTAATTTCAACAGAAATATTAAAAATATTTCAACTAAGTCAAGGAACAAAAAAATTAACTTTCTTGACGAGTTACTGATGAATGTTTATGAATGTTCTGCAGCTGTTACATTTCATAAAGACTCTGCTGGTCTAATAAGCCACAATGAAGAATTTGTATATACTTCTTCTTCTTCAGCATTCCGAGCCCTTGAGGTTCATTGCTGCAGATATCACCCGCCTCCATTCATCTCTCTGGTTGGCCTTCTGTTTCCAGTTGTTGACACCAAGTGTTTGCAGGTCTGTCTGGACATTATCTTCCCATTGTCTTCTTGGTCTGCCTCGTGGGCTACAACCATTCATCTCCCTTGTGTATACAATTTTTACTTCTCTGTCATCTGATATTCTTTCAATATGTCCCAACCATTTCAGTCTATTAGCTTTCATTATGCCAGTGATCAGTGGTGATTTAAACAGATTATGAATTTTGTTATTGCTTCTCACTCTCCATTCCCCGCTGTTTGCACAAATTTATATATAGATACAGAAATGTTTCTAGAGATTTCCTAGATTCAAATTCAAGCTGTAAGAATCCTGTATGAAAAAAAATAGCACATACAATAAGAAAATCCAACTCACTTAATCAGAACATGCAAGCTTATATTTTGTTTGTGTGCAAGTGCATACGAGTGTTTTTTAACTTTGAGCACTGCCAGTAACATCACGCCTTGTGCAAAGATCATGTCCCAGTGTCAATGGTAATATTCTCCATAGCTGCATATTCTCAAAGTTTCTGACATGACACATAGTAGTAATTGAGGTTTCAAATTCGCTTCAAATGGGTCATCCCTTTATTTCTCTATTCCTGTGCCAATGAAAATTACAAGAAAAGCCCCTTATTGTCAGACTTAAAAACTAGTGAACAAACAATTAGTCCTTGCAAAATCCAGAAACATTCATGCGCAGTAAATGCATAAGGCAGCCACTAGAGGCACCAACATAAGAGTTACCAAGAGAACTGCAATTTGTCAATGACAGATGTAGTCAGTCATGATAAGCTGACAGTAAACATGCAATAATACTGCATAAGGTACTTGGCCAGCCTAAACGTCACCCAGCATTTTCTAAATGCCATGAAACAAACAACTGTGAAGACAGATGACATGTCTTCCACAAGAAATACACAACTCAGAGTGTTGCACCAATAAGTAACTATGGCAATGAAAACATTCAGTTTAGTCCATATGTGAAAAGTCATTAGTAAACTGTGCCTTTAAGTCTAAAACACTTTAAGGCTTTAACAGAATGCCTGCCTATCCACCCTATTGGACTGTAAGCCTTGAAACTTGTATTCCTGATACCACTTCACTCAGTTATAATATTTATCAAAAACGTACGCAATTAAGCCTGGCTGAAAAGATCAATACACGTTTCTAAACTTGGCTGTACACTCTCTGATACTTGTTTGTCCATCTCTTGATGTCATCTTAATATTTGTATCACTGTCTACATCTTGCTTGCCTGCCTTGGGGACTTTCCCTCTAGTATGGCTTTAATAAGAGTGATGTCTTTTAATATGGCCAAAATATTTCACTGTTAAGAAATACTTTTCCCCCCAACTTTTTAAACACACAATGACTGACTTAACCTCTCCATTTCTAATTTAATTACCCCTTTTTATTTTATTTTTCTTGAACTTATTCATCTATAAGTCCACTACATGTGTGTTCTCAAAGTGTGGTCTGCATCAATTGGGGCATGAGAGGTAAGGATTGACTTTCATGTATCTAGTCAACATCTTTCCAGATGACAGTGTTCCAGAGTTTCTATAGGGAGTCCTAGGAATCACACCCATGGTGACTGTGAGTGAGACTAGTCAGAACAGCTTACATTAAGAAGAATCTTCCATATACAGGCAGGCGATGTCAGGGCCACTGTTGCCATTACATACATTTTTTCTTTTTAGATGCTCAGCTCTTGTCTGCAAACCTTTTTTTTTCTTGATTCCTTTCTATGGAATGTGATCCACGACATCCTCTTTCCATGAATCCACCTCAATACCTTGTATTATTCATGCCTTGTTTGAACAATGAATGAACCTTATCACTCATATCTTTACTGCTTCCTGGTGTTATGATGAAGAAATTACTGCACAAAATCATATAAAGTGGTTCTACATACGCTTATAAAGTATTACCTTTTCTGTTTGCTGGAGTAATACTCTGTCGTAAGCCTGTGAAGAATGAACAGAAAATGAGAACTATAACTGGATTCTGTTAAACACTTTTAAAACACAGCAAAGGAACATTGATAGAAAGCTTCTATAAATAGGAGACTGTTAGAAGAAAACTAATATAATTAGAAGATTGTACTAGAAAACTCCTCAAGCTAGGATAAAGTGAGCTTTTGCGCGTATTGTGTTTATAGGGCTAGACCTATATTTTATAGACCAATCGGTACTCAATGGGTGACGTGGTCAATATCCCGCCGACTGATTTTACCGGTAAGCATGTAACTTGAGGCTGGGTCAACCTCGCTGCCAAGGTATTTTAAAAAAACAATTACAGCTCTGTCAGGACCCGAACCAATAACCTTCCAATCCGTTCAGCTGCCTTTTTTTTTTTACACCATCCCCTCTGCCATTTTTGTAAAGAAAAACTATTGTGAGCCAAGTCTTTCAAAATTCATGGGCCTAAAAGAGTTAAAACCTTCTATAATTGGGATGTTATGTTAGAAAACTCACATGCCTAGTGTCGTGGAGTGAACAGCCAACCCTACACTATGGACGAGTCGTGACGCTGACTTCCCTAAGCGGGCAAGTCACATTTTTTTTTAAACCGTCCGGAGGGGTATATAGTCCCTTATATTGATATATACCTCTGTCCGGTGAAATAATCATTTCTAGACCCTCTAGTTGCTTTGAGAAGTCAACATTTTCAAACTTGCAACTGTGGGATGAATGTTTCTGGTGAATAATTCAGAAATTCCTGTAAGCCTGTTTACTCCTTGGGCATGAATACAGGGACTTCTTTCATAGAGACGCCAAGCGTAGTTTTGAGTGGCATTCTTTGGTCTGATCTCCAAAGTGTCAAGACGTGTATACAGTCTATGAATAAAATTGGCGCATTCAAAGTACCAGTTTTATCTTTGAAGAATTCCTAAGCTTGGGATGATACCTCCTTAGAGATCAGGCAGACGAATCACAGTCCAGCCAACAACCACCAACCCATACCATTCTGGGCACCAAGCATACCCAAAAGTCCTACCTATTGTTGCCACTACCTCAACATGGCAGGAGCTTGTATGTTAGTTCCAGGACTAGTAGACAATTGCAGACACCTATGTCTTCAATCCGGAGAATCAGTTTTCAAGAGCTTTGTTGGGCTCCTATGCAGTTCCTGTGTCTTCATGTGTAAGACAGTCAGCGTGTACCAGATCAAACCGAGGCATAGCTATCTACTGAGTCAACCATAGTCGCATCACCATGGACTGAGGGGAGCAGTGACCTACGAACTGGGATAAGTGATCTCTTAATCACATACATGCTCTCTTCCCACAGCTCCCTTTGATTCACAATGATGAACTCATGTAATGTCCAGGAACTACATCTAGCTGCTTCAACATCTGAGTTGTGTCGTTAATTCCTGAACTCCATTCACTGAACACTCTTGATTATCTATTCATTTATATATGTGTATATATTGAACTTATCACATGCAGAAATTTTCATGGCTGACTTGGGTGTCCCTGTTTCACCATTCTAACTGTCTAGCTTTTATGTTTGTGTGAGTAATAAGTGTAATCTGTGTTAACATGGCTATGATAGTGTACTATCATAACCAGGGGGCTACCTTTTTATCGTAGTGGGGGTGTCCAGCCAAGTGTGCCTAGGAATATTACATATTTTGTAGTGCCAAAGCTTGAGTTGCCCTACTCCTGAAATAAGTTGGGCGTATATTGGCCATGGGATATCCCTTAGACCAATTCGAGCCAACGACTCAACATTATTATTTCAGAGTGCTGTTGGTTCTTAAGGAGAAATCCTTAAATCAGGCACGTGACAGGAGCGGTATGTGACACCTAGAAGATTATGTTAGAAAACTTCAATAACTATACACTAGAAAACGGAAACTAGGAGATTTGGTGAGAAAACTTCTATAACTAAAAGATTATGTATGAAAAGAGTGAGTGAGTGCCCTTCAACACCATCAGGACCGCACAATGAGCAATGAACACCCAGTGACGCAAAGTGCCACCACTCAGATAAAAATCCAGTAGGCAAGAGTCCCAGAAACCCCTTTCAACCATTAAGTTACATACATATTAGGGCCCACAATGACAGCCGGGGTGGGGCTTTAAAGGACGAAAAATTGTGTCCCATATTGAGCCAGAGTTTAATGTTTTAAAACTGTAACTAGGAGATTATATTTTTTTTAAACTTCCTTAATTAGGAGATTCTGTAAGAAAACTTTTCCATAATGAAAAGAGTAGAAACCTTTTGTAACTAGAAGAAAACTTTGGTAACTAGGAGGTTATACAAGGAAATTTAAAACCAGGAGATCATAAGGAAAACTTCCTTAACTAGAAGATTCAGTAAGAAAACTTATGTCATTAGAAGATAACATTAGGAAACTTTAACAGACAAATTTATTACAATTCTTTAAAAAAAAAAAAAAAAAAAAAAGTAGCTAACCCTTATATATGCTTAAACAAACTAACAGAACAGTTACAGTGCCAGTCAGGTTTATTACACACATGGTGCCAGAAAAACAGTAGCTGCTGGCAGTCGTAATGTAATGCAATCAGTAAGAAGACAAACAAAATGTAAATATAAACAGAACTTACTCTCTTCCTGTTGTTTGGCAAGATTTTCAATATCACTTATATCTGTAACATTGGGCACATACGGCAGATTTTGAGGCTGGTCACCTTCTCCGTGCATTGGAACTGCTCCTCTTTTTAATCTTGTGAAAGTACCACTGTCAAATGCTATTTTTGATAACCCTGGGGACATAACAATCTGAAACTGTTAAGACATAAATCTGGAATTTCTTTTTAATTGCTGGGAAAATATAATGAGGCGGAAGAGTTTCAAAGTACAGCGGAACTTGGTTATTCCTTTCCTCCATTTTGAAAAACTTTATTTCTGAACAAATTTGTTTGGTGGGAAAATACCTTTTCTCAAACAAAACCCAGGTTCCTAAACAGCCAATCTTAAAATATATATACTTTGCAGGATGCGATTACTGTAACATAGCAATTTCCTCAGTGCAAACTCCAAAAATATGCAGTATCTTTAAATGATTTTATCTGATAATGCCCACCCTCCAACTTAATCTTCTTCAGTCAATTTTCATTGTTAATTTATAAATTAACAGTGTTCATCTTCTTTGTTTGTTTTCCTTCCTCCTCTTAATAAAAAATGTGTCCAATTCATTGTTGTTGTGTACAACTTTAGGCATGAAGTATTACTTAAAAAGTTCAAATACTGAGGCAAACATCTGGAGTTTAGAAATGAAGTAATCCATTTTATACTAATCCCTGTGGGACACATGTTTCAGTTTACGAACAAATCTGTTTCTGAATATCTTTTATAAACAAATTAAACCTGAGAACCGAAGTTCCACTGCATTTTGTCAGAATTCAAAGGGTGAGGTGGTCAACATTTTGTCAGAATTCAAAGGGTGAGGTGGTCAACATTTTGTCAGAATTCAAAGGGTGAGGTAGTCAACATTTTGTCAGAATTCAAAGGGTGAGGTAGTAAACATTTTGTCAGAATTCAAAGGGTGAGTAGTCAACATTTTGTCAGAATTCAAAGGGTGAGGTAGTCAACATTTTGTCAGAATTCAAAGGGTGAGGTAGTCAACATTTTGTCAGAATTCAAAGGGTGAGGTGGTCAACATTTTGCCAACTCTATTTATTGTCCAGGAATTTTCCAGTACTCATTTTAGATGGGTTGACCTGGTCAATTATAAAAATCCATCTCAATGCAGATTTGAGCCCAAGACGTTTGGGTCAGCAGGCAAGTGCCTGTGCTACTACAGCTCACAAGATCAATTTAATGAGGCAAATTAGTTCAGTAAACCACAATGAATAATGAATAGACTTATGTTGTTCTGGTTCTACTAATGTGTGACTCAAATATCTTGAAGAAGAAGAAATAAAGATACTTTTGAAAATGTATATGGTGACAAATACTTGACCTACTAACCAAGTTATCAGGTAACACTAGTGGTAAAGGGAAACTATGATATCTCAATTTCACTGAAATAGCCATCTGTTCACATCAAAAGGATTACACCCCCCCCCCCCCCCCGGCTATTTTAGTAAATATATTAGATTCTAGTTCCTCTTAAACATCTGACCAGGCACATACTATATATATCACTGCTGTGAACAAACCACTAAGTTGGTGAAGTGACATTTACAGAGTGTTGGACACAACGGGAAGTTTCGGTTTTGCTGCTTCTCAAGGTTACAGGATTTAAAAACAATAAGGAACCCAGGGTGGTAAACTTCCTCTGATCCTGGTGTCTGTCCTCCTCAGATAATGTTAAAGTTATAAGAGGATCTGTACATAAGTTAAAGCCCTTCATCAGAAAGAGAACGAAAAGAGTCAACCGAACAAGCCAATGCTCAGGCTAAATTTAAAAGAACAATTCCTCTGAGATAGACTATTTATATACACACATTTGAATCTCTGTTAAAACTAGACAGTTTGCAATGCTGACAAGCTCCTTGTGTAATCTACAGAAATACACTGGAGTGGTCTGGAGTTATCAAAGTGTGCCATGAAGGCAACATTTGAAACCAAAATAATGACAACATACCTGGAGCTGTTAAACCTGACTTTCTATGACCAGCATTTCTGACAGGTGTGTGATTGCTTTCTTCAGTAGATCGAGTTAGTGCTCCAGCTGACCGACTAGCCAATGGCTGGCTACCTATCACAGGGGAACTTGAACTGTGTCTCACTGGCAAGACAGACACAATGGTAATAGAATAATTAACAAAATAATTAAAGACAGTGCAAAAAATACCAATACAGATAATAACAATGTTGGTGAAACAGTAGCTAAAGTAAACCTCTTCAATGTGTTTCCTGGTATAGGGCTTAAGGATTTATTCTGAATTACCTTACTCAACTTCTGTATGAAAAATATATCAAGTTACTTTTGTTTGAAAATATATCACAAAAAGCTATTTATTTACTACTGACATTTCATTCAGTTTGCATTAGATTTATGAGAAAACATACCTCAAGAAGTTATTTACTGTTAGCTACTTCATTTAGTTTGCATTAGATTTATGAGAAACCATACCTCAAGAAGCTATTTACTGTTAGCTACTTCATTCAGTTTGCGTTAGATTTATGAGAAACCATACCTCAAGAAGCTATTTACTGTTAGCTACTTCATTCAGTTTGCATTAGATTTATGAGAAACCATACCTCAAGAAGCTATTTACTGTTAGCTACTTCATTTAGTTTGCATTAGATTTATGAGAAACCATACCTCAAGAAGCTATTTACTGTTAGCTACTTCATTCAGTTTGCGTTAGATTTATGAGAAACCATACCTCAAGAAGCTATTTACTGTTAGCTACTTCATTTAGTTTGCATTAGATTTATGAGAAACCATACCTCAAGAAGCTATTTACTGTTAGCTACTTCATTCAGTTTGCGTTAGATTTATGAGAAACCATACCTCAAGAAGCTATTTACTGTTAGCTACTTCATTCAGTTTGCGTTAGATTTATGAGAAACCATACCTCAAGAAGCTATTTACTGTTAGCTACTTCATTCAGTTTGCGTTAGATTTATGAGAAACCATATAAGAAGCTATTGGCTCTACTGGCAAATTTGGCCGGTAAGCTAGACTGCTTCGGCCGGCTTAGTGGGGCTTCGTGGGAGTTATGTCCCTTCACGTCCCTTCGCCAAACTAAAAACAAGTCGCGGAAAAAGTCGTCACGAATCAAATCACAACAGCAAAATGGCAGTTAGACAGAGAGCTACTTCTTCCGACGAAAGTATCAGCGCGGTCGCATCCGTTACGGTCGTTGGATCGTCGGGCTAGTAGAGCGTGAGACTGGCCGTTGCTACTTGGAGCTTGTGCGAAAACGAGATGCGGCGACATTGGAGAGGATTATAAAAGATCACGTACTGCCGGGAACGACCATCGTCACTGACGCTTGGCGAGGCTACAGCAACGTCGCAAACTTAAGGCATGGCATCTATCTGCACGAGGTAGTAGTCCACCAGACCAACTTCGTCGACGTCGCGCACAGTCACATACACACACAAACAATCGAGGGTCTGTGGATGTTGGTGAAACGGTCAATTCGCCAGCGACTGGGCACCAGCCACCCGCTATTGGCGTCATATTTGACAGAGTTTCAGTGGCGCCACTCCCACAAACGTCAGATTGTCGGCCACTATTTCGACCTGTTACGTGAAAATTTCCACATCGAACCAGACCCCTAAACCCTAACCCCTAACCCTAACCCCCTACACGCAATAAGCAGCCCTACACGCAATAAGCAGCCCTACACGCAACCGTAGGACGATGATAGACACCCTAGGCAACCCTACACGCACCCGGATGATGATAGGTAAGTATGTCATTTGTTTCGTGACTTTTTCCGCCACTTGTTTTGAGTTGTTTCGAGTTTGGCCAAGGGACGTAACTCCCACGAAGCCCCACTAAGCCGGCCGAAGCAGTCCAGCTTACCGGCCAAATTTGCCAGTAGAGCCAAGCTATTTACTGTTAGCAACTTATTCAGTTTGCATTAGATTTATAAGAAATATCTCAAGAAATTATTTACTGTTAGCTATTTTATTCAGTCTGCATTAGATTTATAAGAAATCATTTCTCAAAAAGTTATTAACTGTTAGCTACTTCATTCAGTTTGCATTAGATTTATGAGAAGCCTACCTCATGAAGCTATTTATGTGAGCTATTTTACTAAGTTTCACTGCTTACCTATTAAAATCTGAAGAAGCTACTTACTGCGCGCTACTTCATTCAGTTTGCATATAAGAGCTCTTCTTGATGTCTCAACTTCTGGACTTGGGTGGTCAAAGTCCTGCCGCACCCAAGATAACAATGTCTCTCTTGACATGTGAGGTGTCACAGTTTTCGGGGATGTATACAACCTGGCAGGCAAAAATATCTCATTCAGTACAAGACAAGTTTCAGAGTTGTGCTAGCACACTGATCAGCACAGTTGCTAACCAACACAATAGTCCCGAGTTTGAATACAAACTGTGACAGAAAATGGACAAGCTAGATGTGGTCAAGGCCCTTTGGGAGCGAGTGTGCAGAAGCACAAACGGATCATCGCAGTCTCAAGAGAATGGTGCAGCAGGACAGTGTCCAGAACAACACTCAACACTTGGGGAAAGAGGGGTGGGGGGGGGGGGGGGGGGGGGGGGGGGCGCAAGACTCTTGTACAATCAGACTGCTACTGGATGCATCAGAATTGGGTTTCTGCAATGGCTGCTGAAAATGAGGATGGAGCATTTGTGGGAATGTCCTGAATGATGTGATGTTGGTTCTCAACTAATTCAACATGACTGAGGCTGAGCATTTTCAATGATAAAAATTCAACTACAGGAAAATCCATGAATTCTACAACGTGACAGAGCACACAGGCTTTAAGCCTGTGTGGACGGAGTTTTTTGGGAGTTTCAATGCCAAAAAAAAGACGAAGCCTTCAGGGAAGAATTCTCTTAGTTTACACACACAAACATTTTCCAAAATAAAGTGCGTAATTAACATATACAAAACTATATGTATTCAGGAAAGAAAATGAATGAACTTACAAAATATGTATGAATCAAATTGAAATCTCAACATTTATTCAAATTAACTATATGACTGGCATAATTTATGCAGACATTTTTTAAAACTTGGGATTAAACATGACCAACCTGAAAAATGTGGGCAAATGTTTTTTTATGGATGAAGCCTGAATAAGTCCTGAGACTTGTGTTTTGGGGAAATAAGGCCATACAGGCTGTTCAAACTTTTGATGCAAGGTTCTACTCATTTTCACACCTTCTGCTATGTTTCGGCTGCTATGACGCAACAGGCCTTTTCGTGACGTTGGGCACAGGTAAGCCCACAAACACACACAAAAATCGCTGTAAAATTACAGTACACATCAAACTTTCTCGAAAGCCATCATTTAACAGCTCCCATGTACAAGAAATGTGAGACGCAATCTGATTGGCTGGTACGAAAATCTGCCAGCCAATCTCAAGGCTTTTATTACACAGGGCCGACCGATCGGCCTAGCTGTCCTTTAGGCTACTTTGCGTTGGGCCGATATTTTGGCCGCGTCGTCTTTAAAGGGTTAAACAATCTAATGCCTTACATACAACAAGTGAAAACAGATGTAGAGTGACAGATGCCATTGAAGGAGGTGACATTAGTGTTTTTTTTTTAATTATTGTTATTATTATTTTGTAAGGTTTATATTGCAGCAGCTTTATGCGCTTGTCTCTGAAAGTTGGCAGGTATATACTTTACATATCTTTTTATATATAAATATCCAAACCAAATTTTCAATTAAAGAGTTATATATTTGAAAATGGATGTTATTCAATTATGATTGACTACTACACTACTTCTTTGTCTTCTTCTCAGGTTCACTGGCTGTAAACTTTAGCAGAAAGTTCCCTTTGTATGTCCACTTCTCAACTTAAGTCTTGTTACAGAGCTTGAGTTTTTTGCGTGCACCTCCTTTTACAGATCTGTATGTAGACTGTTGTTTTCTTGCCTCTTAAGGAAATAGTAACACCAACCCCCCATGTTGGTTCCGGGGCCCCATTGTGAAGAAAACAAGAATAGACCCACTGCCTCCCCAAAAGCATGTCGTAAGAGTCGACTAATTGGGAAGCTTCCTTTGAAGTCGGAGTGCATCTGCCGGAGAGGCAAGGAACCAACAGTCTGTATTTAAGAGAATGAGATCTGTAAAACTGATGCACACGCAACACTCAGGTCCTGGAGCAGGACTGCAGTTCAGTAGTGGACGAGCAACCAGAACCTTCTGCCAGAGTTTACAGTTGGTGAACGCGAAGAAGAAGAAGAGTAACACCAACCCTCGCCAGTCAGTTGCATTTTACGACATGTTCTTCTTCTTCTTTTGTCGTCGCACTGATACCAGGTTGTAGCCCAGTGTCGTAGTTTTCTGTAGTTGTCTTGCACTTCTCGGGTGGCTTGAGTGATGGATTTGTTATTCTTTTTGCAGGTTTCAGCTACAAAATGTATCCGCCTTCCTCCCAGATGTTCTACTGTAAAAAGTCTCATATGCAGTCTGGTCAGGCATCGTTCTCACTAGATGGCTGAACAATTTCATTCTACATGTTTGTTGGGGGAAATTAGTGCATTCTCTTTTCCGAAACAATGTGGCCCCTGAACTGATATGGAGATCTAAACTTCTAAGTTTAATAAATTGAGACAGAGTTAGCAAATAAAGTTAAACAAAGGACCCTCAATATTTCCACCTCATCATTGCGCACAATACGGTGTACATTCTCGAAAGTCTTGTTAGCAAATAAACATAAATGCATACTGTGTTCACTTAAAAATAGTGAGCTGGCCGCCATTTTTATATGTTAATTAGGCAAATATTGCATCATATGTATTTAATAAATACAAATACAGTTAGGCCTCTGCCCCGATTGCAAACACATAGTTCCTAAAGGATTTGTTTTTAAAAAAAAAATAGTTATTGCCATGAAACACAAAGGTTTAGTCATTTCCACCTAAAATTTTACTGGACACAGCCTAGAATCCATCTTTTGTCAGATTACACTATAATTTGGTATTCGCCACAAAAATGTTAATATCTTCACTTAGAATTAGAACTGACTTACAGGCCTCATTGGGGTATCATTAGATTTATTTTAATCTCAGCATTTCTTCGAATGAAGGGGACAGTCTACAATCTACTGTTTGTTTACGGTGACTATGAGGAACACAATCCATCCTTTGTGTACGTTCCCACAATGTTGTGTAATATTAAATATTGCGTCAGGTTAGAGTTGGGGTTTGGATTAGCTTTAACTCTAATCTTAATCTCAAACAATAAAATGTGAAAGAATGTTATTATTATGTGAACTTACATAAAGAATGGATTATGTGTCTTATGGTCGGCAGTTAAAGTTATGTCAAGTTACAACAGATTGCATACCCCTATGGTCGCCGTTTGATGACTGCCATATTATTCAATATGTTGTCCCCATTTGGGATGCAATTTTTTATTATTTGAAGCCCTACCCTGGCTTCTGCGGGGTCCCTGAATATAGCCGGGTCATATATATGGCCTAACGGCTGAAAGGAGTTTCTGGGACCTCTCCACAGGTGATCCTCATCTGCATAGTGGCACTTTGTGTCATTGGGTGTTTATCATGTGTGATGTCCTGGTGGGGTACAACTACCTACCTACCTACTGCCGTATTCAAATTATGTCCCCATGTGGCCGGAGGCCCTATTTTCACCTAACGGTTGAACGGGGTTTCTCCGTTGGTGATCCTCATCTGAATGGTGGCACTTGTGTCACCGGGTGTTTCAGTGTGATGTCCCAGTGGGGTAAAATGTCACAGTTGCCTTAATCCTATCTAGCTGGTATGATTTCATAAGTAAAAAATCCAATATCTAAAGCTTCACTTCACTATCATCCCTCATATTATTTTACTATAAAGATGGATGAGACCTAAGTGGTGTAATGTGGTCAGCATCAAGCCAACCACCTCATATACTATAGTACGTCACAGGATTTTACCTGGTACCCATTTAATTTTTTAAGGCTGGGCTGACCTGGAACCCTAGGTCTTTTTTGTTTTAAAGTCCGGCTCCCTTCGGATTTGACCACACGACTTTCCGATCCACACAGGAACGTTTAGCAGACTAGCCGCTACATGGTGGAAGTAATTAAGTTTGAGTGTAACAAACTTCGGCGCTCCTTTGAATCATTCCCCAAAATGGCGGCATGCCACATTCTGGCCATAAAATATCCGAACGACGGTGTTCGCGTATATCTAAAATACTGACTTTCTGCCAAGGAACAAATCGCGGCAAAACTAGGATTACTTGACAGTCAATATCAACATTTGCACACGGTACTAGTAGCAGACGATAAATACCAACCGTTGACAACAATTTCGAGCGTTTCTGCAGACGATACTAGCAGACGATATTAGCGACGGTTGACCAATTTCGAGACATTACAGACGATGAAAGCCGATTAGCAATACTGTGTTGTTTCGATTGGAGGATTTAGCAGAGGTAGATGTCAGACTTGTTGGCATGTGCCAAACCCAAATAAACTCATCGCCGAGCATATCCCCCGCGCCGCGCGGATGCGGGCTAAACTAGGTGCCTGGGACTCACTAGTACAGTAATTAGAGGAAGTTGCAAGAGATGCGGTAGCTGCCGCTCGTGAGTCCCAGCCATCTAGTTTAGCCCCTATCCGCGCCGCGCGTAGTGGCACGGGGGATACGCTCGGCGGTGAGGCACACTCGCAGAAGCAGGTCGGCAAGCAACGTATCGCTGAGACCCTGTCAGAGCATTTGTTTTGTTATCCGGAGCCGGCACATATATTTTTAATAGAACTGACCCGCATTCGGATATATTTGGATGTTTTATGGCCAGAAATTGGCCAATTTAGCTCTCTTTCGAACGCCATCATATTAAAGCAGCCATTTTGGGGAACGATTCAATGGAGAGCCCAAACTAATCAAACTTCAAATCTTGTGAGCACTTACCAACTGTCATCATCAACAGAAAGATCAGAAAAATTCACGTCGTCCAAGTCATCCAACGCAAAATTTTCCTTTAACTTAACTTTAGCAACATCTGATGAATTATTATCACTGTCGTTGTTGTCATTTTCTTTATTGTCTGTTGTCAGGTCTCCATTTCTCGATTGTTTACTTCGAAGAGCCTCATTTTGTCGTTCCAAATTTTTCACAAGTTCCTGAAGCTTTCGTACTTCACTGTGTGGATCTGCGACAGGCTCTGGACTATCCATGTCATCTGTGAAGGATGCACACAGAGAGGATAGTACTACTGTTTATGATTAATAGTTTCATTACTTGGAATTTATGTTCTGTTCTAAACAAATCTAGGCAGCCATTTTACTAGCAGAAGTCCACGCATGCGCATTGAGTACACTGTTAGCGGAAGCGGAGTGGTACAACACAATTCTTCCCCATCTCTCTCTCTCTCTCTCTCTCTCTCTCTCTCTCTCTCTCTCTCTCTCTCTCCCTCTCAGTGTGTGTGTGTGAGTCTCTCTCTCGCTCTTTCTCTCTATCTATCTATTTCTGTCTCTCTCAGCATAATTATTTTAAGGCTCCATCTGGCTGTGGTCGGGGCCCTAAAAAGAAACCAACATAACGGTTTAACTACTTTAACGGGGTTTCTATGACTAGCGACTGTGGGATTCTCATCCGAATAGAGGCACTTTGTGTTAATCGCTCGTTGTGAGATCCTGATGGAGTTGAACATCACACACACACACACACACACACACACACACACATACACATACACTTTAGCAGGTGCCATCTCCACAATAAATGTGTGAGGTATATCGGGGGCGTAGCTAAGATATTTGGCATCATGGGGTATTTGGCGTCCATGGCATCCTATGACATTTGGCGCCCATAGCATCCTATGAAATTTGGCGCCCATAGCATCCTCTTATATTTGGTGCCCATAGCATCCTATGATATTTAGCGCCCGTTTGGGTTAGGGGGGGGGGGTAAAGGCGTGGGTATCATAAATTGTTTTTAATTTGCGTTAGTCGTGGCTCAGTTTTGGTTCTACTTTGAAAGACATTGTATTGTAGTACATTATTTGGAAAAAATTTAAACAAAATATGCAACATGGTGTATGTTTATACAAACTGTGGACGTGCTGCCTGTGTTAATGTTCTATTCGTTGTAGCTAATTTTCCTTTCATGTATCTCGGTGAAACCTCATATGGGACTGAAAGAGTTAATTAACAAATTATGACACTTTACTAACACAAGATTTTAACTACAAATGCATTTTCCTTGCCTTTATTAATGCCAACTGGTCAGTTATGTGATCAAAGTATGTTTTCCCAGTTTCTTCTCTTTCTGCGCTGAGTAGAGCAAGACCACATAGTCAATCTTGTACCATTGATAGATAATCAAGAATATGTTTCATTTTACACAGCTGGCAATGGAAACTTCAATAGTTAGCATTATTTGAATTGAAACGCGAAGTTTAGGAAAGACAGCCATCTCCATATTGAACAATCTTGTCCCCAGATCCTATTTGTATTGTCTACCATGTCGCGTAGGATATGCAGTATTGTTTTAAACTAATTGTCGTCAGTGTTGCAAAAAATCTCTTCTTGCATTCTATCTAGTTTCAGATGAAACTGAAACACGTTGTGACCACTGGAAAGATCCATGGAAAGAGAGACAGAGAAAGACAACGTGAAAAGATTCTTAACAGTCTTTTGTCATAGAGAGGTGTCAACACACGAACTGATACAAGCAAGTAGTTGTAGTACGCGCTTTAGATCCAGAGTATTTGAGGAGTGGGGAATGAAGATTTTGAAGAGTGAGGAGTTAAGATTTTGAGGAGTGAGGAATGTGGGTTGACTTTGTGGGTTGGCTTTGCGGGTTGGCAGAGTGTTGGCTTGGCTGGGTTGAAGGTCGAGGGTTGAAGATTTCTGGTCGAGGGTTGAAGATTTCTGGCTGAGGAGTGAGGAATGAAGATTCCTGGCCGAGGGTTGAAGATTTCTGGTTGCGGATTGTGGGTTGACGGTGATGTAGGAAATGTCAGCTTACGGATTGTACAGATCTGCGTTTTTGGCTTTGCGGATTGGCTTGCGAGTTGAACGTAGGAAAAAAAGTTTACAGAAAATCATGAGCGACATTAGTTTGGTTGGATGGTTGGGGGAGCCCCCAGCCCCTGTACCCATTTGTTTTTAACGATGTTTCCAGAAGTTTCTCTAGACGGCGCCCCTGTCTTGAGTGTGTTTCGAAGGTCAGAGTCCGGTTATTAGCCGACTGGTTCCATGCTACCATAACATCGGTTTCATATGTCACTAAGCGAATAATTGTGTCAGTTTTTTCTTCTTCTTCACACACACACACACACACACGCACACACACTCACACAGACTATTAGCCCTTTTATTTGAACTTGCTGAAAATACACCACACACACACACAAACATACACACACACACACACACTATTAACCTCTATTATTTGAACTTGCTGAAAATACACCATACACACACACACACAAACACACACACACACACATACACAACTAGTAAGATCCGAACTATTTACGCATTTTCTTGACTCCCAAAGTTCTTAGATATACAAGATGTACTTTGTAATCGTTGACTACTACGACATTATCACACCGCCCGCGTTTACGTCCCCAGAATCGACCGCCTAGAACTTACACTCTTCGAATCGCTGTTCTAGCCACTAGTGACTTCCAAAAGTCTTAAGACAAAAACACGTCGTCCAGTTAATAACCCGATATTACCAGTGATAACAATTAACCTTTTCGTCCGGTTGACAGGAAACTAACACCTCATCGCCGACTAAACAATTTTACGTGGCTTTTTTATGTGGTTTTAAAATATTGGTCGAGTTGGTTCGTTGCATTTACAAAGCCTAAACTATAAAATCGAGGTCGCTGAGTAGCACCGCCATCATCAGAGCTTTTCCCCGTTCGAATTTTTCCGACAAGACCAGCTGTGACGGCCTTTTGCTAAACCTATTCTACAAAAGGAAACAGTAAACAGTTTTTGAAGGACCTTCTAGCCTAGTAAGTTACTAATCTGTATTACCCTAATATCCCTTTTCTTCTTCTTCTTCTTCTTCTTTTTCTTCTTCTTCTTCTTCTTCTTCTTCTTCTTCTTCTTCTTCTTCTTCTTCTTCTTCTTTTTGTATCAAAGAATCTGCGCTAGCTGCTGAAGAGAGGCCTAGATCGCTTATGAGGATGTTCCGAATGCTGTGATGTTCTCTCTCTTTCTCTTTCTCTTTCTCTATCTCTCCCCCTATCTCTCTCTCTTTCTCTCTCTCTCTCTCTCTCTCTCTCTCTCTCTCTCTCTCTCTCTCTCTTCTGTTTGTATGCTTTGTTAAGGTTAGTTGCGTATCCTTTACAGGACGTTGCAGAACCAACTCCAGCAGCCCCTGGCTGTTGTGTAGTTCCTCTAGGCAAATTTACGTCCAGTAGTTTGCCATTGCTTTCTGGACGGTTGGCCTTCTGATCCCACTGTCGAAACCAACTGGACGGTCGGCTCCCTGATACCACTGTCGAAACCAACTCAAGGCCCATGGCTAGCAGCTGGGATCGAACCCGGCACCCCGGCATTACGAAGCGTTCGCATCGACTTAGCCACAGAGCCGACTTCTGTTTGTATACATACCAGAAAACAAAACTGACCCGCAATGAACCGTTTCAACTTTTATCTCCGTGTCCGAAGCTGACCCTGCCATAGCTGATTAATTAACAGAACCGCTAATGGCTATCACAACAACGTAGAGAACATTCTCCGTCGCCGCCCCGCCTCTTTGGAACTTTCGCGAAGTCAGTTTTCGTCTGTTTTTCTTCTTCGCCTTCACCTATTGTAAACAAAGATTAAAAAGTTGTTCATCCACTTCAGGGCTTAGGTATTGTCCTAAATGTTGTATGTATCTAGCTTATGTAATGTTGGTTCCTGGCATCGCAAGCAGATGCACTCTGACTTCAGACTAATTAACTGACTCTATGGCACACTCTGGGAGAGTAGCTCTGTTTTGCACCCTTCTTTTGTACGCAGACTGTTGATTTCTGATAGAATGTTGGTTCCTTTTTTTGGGGGCTTATATATATATATATTTTAATGTTTCTTGTTTCCATAAGACTGTCCTGTGTGAAGAAGTACCATTCTACAAGACTACAGTACGACTCAGGCCAGGCATTTAACAAGTTCGGTGCTGCCGACAACGGAAGTAAGTAGCTGAGTTTTATCCAGCTTGGGTGTTGTTTTCCTTTCTTTACAGGTTTGATTGAATAGCTGTGAACACACACACACACACACACACACACACACACACAACACACACACCCAAAACGGTGAAACATGTAAAGACAATTAAAAAGCAGACAGACTCGTTCCCTCGATACAACTGATGCTTTTCTTGTTAACATATCAACTTCATTGCGTTATGTGCTCAGTGACAAACACAAGCTCTCTCTCTCTCTCTCTCTCTCTCTCTCTCTCTCTCTCTCTCTCTCGTGAAAATATCTTATAGTACACACCTTTGCTCGGTGTATTCTTGTGTGCCTCCAACTTACAAAGTACGATTTCTCAGCTAACAATCATTTGTCGTTTCTGTCCGTCTGCCTGCCTGTCTGTCAGTTTGCTTCTCTATTTATCTGTGTCTGCCCTCATGCGTCTAGCCACCTATTTGTGTGTACGATTGTCTGTGTATCGGTTTTTGTGTGTCTGTTGTAGTGTCGTTTTGTCCGTCTGCCTGCCTGTCTGTCAGTTTGCTTCTCTATTTATCTGTGTCTGTTTGCCCTCATGTGTCTAGCCACCTATTTGTGTGTACGATTGTCTGTGTATCGGTTGTTTGTGTGTCTGTTGTAGTGTCGTTTTGTCCGTCTGCCTGCCTGTCTGTCAGTTTGCTTCTCTATTTATCTGTGTCTGTTTGCCCTCATGTGTCTAGCCACCTATTTGTGTGTACGATTGTCTGTGTATCGGTGTATCAGACATGGGAGACTAAAAATGTTTCCATACGCTGTTCGAAAGGAGGACTGTGTCAGCTACATAGTGAAGAATCGGGTTGCCACCAAGTATGACCGGTTCATAACTGTCACACGTCTGGCCATTTTTTCTATATGTAAAATGAATAGGGTTTGGTGAGAGAAGCCATTTCTACCTCCTCCTTTTTTTTTTTTTTTTGTATTTCGAACCAATCTTCTGTTTCGCCAGCTGCGCTGAGGCTGTGCCTTATTTTCAGGCAAAAGGGCAGCAAAATG